TTTTTGATTTTTTAGATCAGTAGTTGTTCCATGTCAGTTTATGTACATTTATATTCATGCAGGTACATGAGTGGACAAAGAAAAAATATATACATTATTGATGCTTCATTTTTAATGGAGATTTTTTTGGGTTGTTGAGGACAATTAATTCCATTTTACCATGGTAGGGAAAATGATTGCTAAGGTAAGTATGGGGACCAAAAACGCCACCCTCATGTGTAGCCCTTTTCATTTAGGTGAATCCCCTACCTTTCTAATCATCAATTCGTTTAATCCCGTGTTCCTCTTACTTTTTATTTACTTAATTTGGCCATATTTAATTGACCTCATTTTATTTATTTAAGATTACTATTTTTTTATAGGAAATAGAGATTTATATTAAAATAAAAGGATATTACAGATGAATCTCTATCAGAGGGCATTATAGCCAAATTAAAAACAAAAGCGTAACCTACAACATTAGTAACAGATTTAAACTATACTCATGATGGGTATGGACAATTAAGTGAAAATGGCCATCTGTGACTAAAGATTGCAACTATAATTACTATATGGGCAAAAATAGGACTAGTAAAGTAGAAAAGGAAGTCGCTATGAGTGTCTTAAACTATTGGATATCCTCACCTATTTAGCTAGCTTTATAGAGAGAGCAGGGAATCTCGACATCAACAGTCCCTAACCCGCTAGATGTCGTCCCGTGCTAATGCATACTTCAACCGGCAGGAGGGTCATGGCCTTTAGCCGATTGAGCTAAAGCCACCCCTATATTGTTTACCAGCACTTTAAGGGCTCTCTCTTCTTTAATAGGTGTGAGACAACTCCTCCGCTTGTTCCGAGTGCTATTCTCTGTGGACCTTGCAGAAGTCACTGCATGAGCTAACCTTTTCCAACTGCCCTTATGTGCTTTTGCAGTGGTCCCTTTCCCTTTATGATTTCTCATGTCCCCATACTATTGTGACAAAGGAACGTCCACCAGCTTTACCTCAGCAATTGGAGACAAAACAGCATGAGACTGGCTTATCTCAACCCCAAGGCCCATATCAGTTGTGCCATTCTCAATGTTTACCCCCTCGACTTGCCCGGTATCATTATTACCACCAGCAACTTGGCTTCCACAAAGGGGCATATTATTAAGTGATTGGATTTATGCATGTTCATAATGCTCTGAGTCATCTGCACTCTTAGCCTCACCCAGAAATTGGGTATTTGTAGAGAAGGTATCATCCAAAATAACAAAGTCATCCGAACACCATGAGTTCTCAAATTCAACCTTTAACCAAGGACCAAAGCGTCGAATAATCTTACCACCTGCATCTTTAATGCAGTGAGCAATTTCACAATCCTTCTTTACATGGCCTAAGCACCCACATACAAAACAAAACTCTGAGAGTCTTTCATATTTAATCCTAAGTTTCCTACTTTTGGTAGCAGTAATTTGCGAAGTCTTGAACCTTCGCAGTGGGTTCTCAACATCCAAGTCGATTCAACGGCTTTCTTGAATCCTTCATCCACCTCTAGGACTCTTCCTAAAGAACTTCCAATCATGAAACTAGTTTGCTTAGAATGCAACCCAACAAGGACATCGAAGATCTTGATTCAAAATGGGTTTGTGGAGAAATTGTATTGCTCTAGAGTTAGGGAGGCTTGGAATCTTATGAGGATGAGCAGTGAGTTACTAAAGTCCCAAGGACCCCTATGGATGACTTTGTTAAGATCCCCAATATTAGAAAATTGAAAAAGATAAATCTTTTCTCTAATCTCTGAAATTTTAAAAGCTTGCTTAGGGTTCCAAGCAAGGTTTTTAAAATCGGATCGGACCGATTGGTTGAACCGGTCGAGCCGATATCCAGTAATGAAAATGGTTCAATTTACACAAAAAAACCATTTGAGGTCAAAACCGATGAAACCGGTGAAACCGATAAAACCAAAAAAACCACCGGTTCAATTTCTCATGCAATTTTCTTTCATTCTTTCCAATTTCACCCTCACCATTCCTTTTTTATACCGATTTTAACCCTTAATTTTAATAAAATTACAAAATTACCTGCTCCTCTCATCAGATTTCCCTTGTTATTTGAATCGGTCGGTTCACCAATTCAACCGATTAAATCGGTCAAACCAAAAACCGAACCCAAAAAAGGTTCAATGACCAATTCGGTTTTAAAAACCTTGGTTCCAAGAGGCCATTAACACATTATGAAAGCCATTAAGGTTGACCCTCTGTCGAGATAGTAGTTTCCCAACCAATTGCAACCTGCCCACATTAGCATCATTCTGCTTCCACACCATATGTGGTGGGAGGATCCCATCGTCCTTCTCCGCAATTTGAATCCGGCTAAGCATAGACCATAAATCCTCTTCAGCCATGGTTGGGATGCTGTTACGATGGCGAAGCAGAGTGATTGAACAAAAATCTGGTGCTCCTAACAAGATCTGCGAATCAGAAAACTTGGAGAAGCAAAGGTTAATGGCACACCCAACCGAAATCTGTAGGTAACACTGTTCGGCGATGGCGAAGTAGGTAGAAAGAAGAGGAGGGCTCCGCAGCCAGAGAGGAATCCCGAAGGAGAGGCTCGCCATCTCCAAACCTTAGCTCGAGGAGTTTGGAGCATGGGAGAAAAGCGGATCTTAGATTCTTTATTTACGATTACTATTAAATACCAATGACTTGTTGATTTGAGTGAAAGGAATTCGGTTCCTCTTAAATAAGGTATCGAGTTCGAGTCTTATAAATGGAGAAACAAAT